AAAAAAAAAAGACTCGATAGCAGTGCGTTTCATTTAGTTTGCCTTCCCAAATGGAGATGGTTAGCCTCTGGAAGTTACTCTCTATCCCTTAGTTATCCCCATGGTATTTCTTATCGTGCCCTTGCCTACTAGAAACCACAAACCAAACCAGTTGCCTTCGGGTTGATTCTGACTCATGGCACCCCTATGTGTGTCAGAGTACAACCGTGCTCCAGAGAGTTGTCAGTAGCTGATTTTTGCAAGTAGATCACCAGGCCCTCCAAGGTGGACTCAAACCTCCAGTCTTTCAGTTAACAGTGACTTGTTAAGTTTGCTTCACCCTCACATCCTGGCACTTTCTATTTATTGATTGCTCAGTGTGAACAGTAAACTTCTCATGTTGGTAACTGTCCCTCACACAGAAGAGAGAGTCCTCCCAGTCACTTACATGTTTGTTCTACACAGTCTCAACGTCTATTTCAGGCCCCAGAGATCATTTCCCTTGAGTGACCCAGTCACTTCTAGTTCCATTGTACTCCTCATCAGCATGTCTTCCATTAGGATATATTGTGGGAAGAAGTTGGAAAAGGAGGTGACTATTACTGATGAGTTTGGTAACTGATCATCAGCTCTGTAAAATGTTTGATAATGTTAAGTTTGATATTTTTGACTAAAGTAAAATCCTTACCTTTCATTTCTAAGAACATCTGAAAGTTGACTATAACTTCACAATGACTCAATGATCTAGCATATTTTGAGGAAAGTTAGATTTAAGTCCAGAGGATTGTTACTGTTGTTAGGTGCTGTCGAGTGGGTTCTGACCCATAGTGACCCTAGTATAAGAGAACGAAACACTGCCCTGTCCTGCACCAATGGTTGCTACCTTAAAGCTCATTGTTGCAGCCACTGTTCCAATTTATCTCGTTAAGGGTACTCCTCCTTTTTGCTGACCCTTTACCACACATGGCTGGTCCCTGATAACATGTCCACATTATGTGAGACAAAGTCTCTCCACAGTCTCTTCTAAGGAGCCTTTTAGCTATACTTCTTCCAAGAATGTTTGTTTATTCTTCTGGCAGCCCATGGTATAGCTGATGTTCTTTGCCAACACCAGAATTCAAAGGCATCAATTCTTCTTAGGTCTTCCTTAAGCATTTTCCAGCTTTCACATGTCTATGAGGTAACTGAAAATGCATGACTTGGGTCAGATGCCAATTAGTCCTTAAAGGACATCTTTGCTGGTTAACACTTTCAAGAGGTCTTTTGCAGATTTAGGAGCTCTGGTGGCATAGTGCCTAAGGCCTTTGACTGCTAACCAGAAGGCTGGCAGTTCAAACCCACCAGTCACTCCTCAGAAGGGAGACTGGGCAATCTACTTCCATAGTGATTCCTCCTCAGAAACCGAAGGAGGGGTCACTATGAATGGGATCTGACTCAATGGCAGTGAGTTGTTTTTTTTTTTTTTTCAGATTTTCTCAATAAAATATATCATTTGATTTCTTGACTGCTACTTCTGTGAGCATTGATTATGCATCCAAGCAAAACAAAATCCTCGACAAGATTTAACTGGTCTTGGCTGTCTTTGAAGATGGAGGAAGGGGGCCAT